GGGGTCTTTGCGGTCAGTAACCCAACCGATGATGAAGATGCCGACCTGATTCTGCTCGGCAAACGCAAACTGGAAGAGGGTGCTGCTCGAACGCCACAAATGCCATAAGCTTACAAAGGCCTCTGCAACTCGGAGCAAAGCACACATCAGAAAAATGCCTATCAACGGACGAGAAAGTCCTACGCGCCGCTGCGTGCTAAGGTATCTAAGATAGTACCCGGCACCCAGGCGACTGCCACATGACATTTCCGATGGCTGGACAAGACACGCAAACGACGATGGCGAGGACACCGATACGAGCGCCTGCGGATGTGGCGCTTTTGACGCTCTAGTGACCTATAGCGGCCCTCCTTCCCTGCTCGACTCGGCACGGGTAGCTGACTACGACTTCTCTACTGCGCAATGCCCCAAAGTGCGCGCCTCTTTCCGGGGCTCAGCTGCTATGTGTTACATGCTTTGATAAAGTACAGCACCCAGCCTAGCTTGTTCAGGTTCTGCTGCAGGGGCGTTTGGCTGCCAGAAGTGTCCGGGAAGCAGAAGCAGGTGGTCTTCTGTCCACCGTCCTCACTCAGGCCGTGTTGCCGTGTTTGCCGAATGGCACTGCAGAAGCCCGGCTTCTGCAAAGGCAAAGGCCCTATGGCACTATGGCTCCTCGCCGGCGATCAGCTTGGCAATGCGGCCGATGCCTCGAATCCGGCGGAGGAGTCAGAGGCGTCAGCGGTGCCCGCTACACAGGCTGCCGATTCTGACGGGCTGCGGGTGTTCATGCCGGTGTCCGTGACCAGGCCACGGCCGAGGCCGCTGGTGATGCTGCAGCCAGAGAAAGCCATGGTCTCAGGGGTGAGCCTCAAAGATCGCACCGCGGTCCCTCGCATGACCCATGCAGTGAAGGGTGGAGGGTGGAAGCGCCGAGGGGCTTCTCGGGTTGCCCATCCTTCTTCTCCTTCACTTTCGAGGTCTTGGCCACGTCATCAGGCTCGCCTCGTCAGAACGTCACTCCGGCACATGTCGGAGCATCGCGAATCGCCAGCCCTTCGGGAGCCTGTCAGCGCCATCTCGCTGACCTTGAAGTCCTTCGCCTCGAAGAGCCGCAGGTCCGCCGGCACCACGTCGCCAGTTCCCAGGACGACCTGCTTGCTGCAATGCAACTTTGAAGCAACAGCCAGATGCTTCCGTTTGGCCAAGGGGCGATGTCGCCTGAGACGACGCTTGGGACAGGTACCTGCACTTCCTTCCCGTCGCGCACGACCTCAAGCAAGGCTTTCGAGAGCTGCGTGCCCTTCGATCGGTACCGTCTGCACGGCACTGCATGGGTTTGGCACTTCGTCCCGGTCACATGCACGGCTTGCAACTGAGCGGCGTAGATGTTGGCTTGCGTCATCTTGGACAACCTCGATTCAAGGTCGCAGCTGTCAGACCTGCCCCGTGCCTAGATCTGCCCCCGTTCGCGATTTCTCGCTCGTGCGATCAAGTGACGCCTCCAGGGCATCGCCTGCCTTGTGCTCTGTCCAAGCAGCAATGCCGGCGTTGATGAGGACAATGATGCCCTAGCTCA